TTCGGACGTTTTCACTGGCTACGCTTACTGTTTGATTTGCATGTTTCGAGCGAAATTTTACGAAAGCGGTTACTGCAAGCTGTTGATGACCTAGACAGTTTAACGTGTGTAGCAGACCATGCACTGTTTTACGGCTCGACCGAACAGAATCATGATGCCAATCTGAAACCCTTTTTGCAGCGATGGGTGCAAAAGAATATAAAGCTCAAACGCAAGAAAGTTAAGCTCCGAAAACCGGAAGTAATTGTTCACGGGCACGTTTTGACATCCGAGGGAATAAAGATCGGTCCCGGAAAACTCATGACAGTGCAGATGCTACAACCTAAGAACGTCAAGGCTGTTAGTCGTTTAAATAGCATGGTGAGTTAGTTGAGCCGGTTTTTGCCAAGATTTGCTGAACTCATGACGCTCATCCGGAGACTGACTCACAAAAGTGTAAAGTGGAGTTGGGGAAAAGAGCAGGAGGCAGCCTTTACAACCATCAAGAGTCTTATTATCTGTGCCGCATTACTTGGTTGTTGTGATCCAGCTCTACCTTTGGTGGTGCAGTGTGAAAGCAACCAAAGCGAAATAGGTGCCGTTCTCCCGTAGGAGGGTAAACTCTTGGATTTCCTTAGTCGGGCGCTAACAGTGAAGGAACTGCACTATGCGCAGATACAAAAGGAGCTGCTTGCTGTCGTCTACGCAGTGGTGTGATTCAAAGACTACACATTTGAAAGCAAGACTACTGTGTATACTGACTACAAAACGCTCGTATCAATAGCTAGTATACCGTTAGTGTCCGTCGATGTCTTTAAAAAATGCTTAGCCGGCTCCAAAAATACGACATGGATCTAGTGTACACTTCGGGGAAGCAAATGTTCATCGCGGACGCTCTGTCGATAGCTCATCTTCCGATAGTCGAACACCAACAGGAAGAACTCGAGACAGTCAATATCGTACAACAGTTGGCGGTAACGACAGTTCGCCTGAAACAGTTAGAGCGTCATACGGCGGCAGACGCGACGTGTGTGGCCTTCCGAAAGGTGATTTTAAAGGGATGGTCAGATACAATGGATACATTTCCTAAGGAATTAGGGTTGTCCTTCAGCTTTCGGGATAAACTAACGGTTTATGACGGTTTGCTCTTTAATGGAAATCGCATTTAGATCCCACCGCCGCTTGGCAAAGAAATGCTAGAACACGCTCAGCGAGCCCATTCTGGTGTCAACTACAGTTTTAGTAGAGCACGCGAACTGGCACTACCTTTTTGAACTTAGAAACAGGAGCTTACATACTTCTTCCAAACAACACTACCTCGTCGATAAGCCACGTTCGAGAATGTCAGGTATTTAAAATAAATTTGTGAAGGGAAATCAAAACTTACATTACTTACGAGGCAAACTCTGGTATCTTAATTCAGCTACGTTCCATTATTTGCAGTATTCGGTTCCCGATTTTCCGGTTACTGTGGCTTCCGTAGGACGGGCAAAGGACGCCTGCGCCTACAGAGAGATCATGGGTAGCTTAAACTGCACCACCCACAGCTCCATCAATAAACCCCATATCTTGTAAAAACCCGAAGGAATAAGACCAGGAGGCATGGGGATGGGTGCCACGTTTCATCAACGGGGCGGCCCACACTCCTTCAACATAGCCAGCAGCAGTATGCTTGTCTATCTATGTAGGGAATCATGCGAACCAGTAGTACACGAGGCAGTGGCTGGGCCGTACTCAATCCACACTTGATGGAACCAATCTTCGAGCCTAGCACGTCCACGAGAATCGTACAATCCTTACCCTCAGCAAGGATTCACAGTCTCCTGGAGCCACTTATCGAGGTGGAGGGTGATAGACTGGTACGCACGTTGTTAACATTCACATCAAGCGCGGCCACACCGTGGAGAACATTCAACCCACGCAGAAGTCAAGGGAAAGAAAACACTCCAGATTGACACGGAATATACAGCAGCGTAACAGAATTGAACAAGCCAAATAAAGAGGAATGACATTTATCCGGATTAAAATGACCTACATTAATTTTAAGTTGGTTAAGCCAAACTGCGGTGAAGAAGCATCATGAGGCATACTAGGTTTGTCAATCAGTCCATTAACTACGTGTGTGCGATATTTGCGCACTATAAACTTCCTAACATCTGTCGAGCTATGCTATTTAGTTGAGCTACAATCCATGCCATGTACTGCTGAAGGAACTCGTTGTATGTATGGCAGGCTTCCAATGATTATCCGCTAGTCACCGGTCTTGCGCGGTATATTCGGTGATTAAAGTCATACCGACTGTCACCTTCCGACTTTGTCATAAATCCTAAGATTCAAGCAGGTGATTGCTCAACCGGACAGAATTTGTATACAGTGCAATAGAAATTGATACCCTACACAAAGGACAAGACAGAGACCGAATTATACGCTGTTTTGTGTTCGCCGTCTAGTTTGCGTTTATTATGGGTTACATGTAAGAAAGTGGCCACCTACAGCAGTATTTGTTTTTCCCCTTAATATAGATTGGTAATTCACGCTTCCAGAATGTTATACAATACAGTGCAGCAATTCCTAAATAACACATGCTGCACACTACATTTACCATGGACCTGTCCCATGCACAGTGAGATGCAACGAGTTGTTACACACACACACACACACACACACACAATTCTGCTAGTATTTGTCTAGCTCTGCACTACTCTCTTCTACTCTCCCATGGTGGTTTCATCTCATTGTGCTGAACCATAATAAACTAGAGTTAACGTGGTCCTACGAGAATTCTTTTCAAACAGATCACCAAGGGAAGTAAGTAGCCTATCTACTGGTCGATGACACCATTACGTATGTGGTAATCCGTTGCGTGCACGGGTTTCGGACCATGTACGCCCGCAGCAACTTCATCCGATCAGTCAGTTTAGGATGAACTCAACAGTGAATCATTTTTTTAAAAAATAACATCGCTGTCATTGAAATGCGACGTGCAAACACGGCAGTGGCAGCCAAACGACGCATTCTTTTCGCTTTTTTCTCCATGTAACTTCCTTTGCTATCCAGCTGCTCGATATTTACACCATCGCAAGATTCTTCTTTGCCAACTGCTTGATTTACTTCGAATTTTGGCATAGGCCTTCCCCTCTTACTTCACTGGTGTCCTGTCTGCAATGCCCCTGTTTGCTAACTTCAGCGTATCTGCTTATGGGGCAATTTAGAAAGTGCTATCCTGTTACCTAATTTTACTTCTATTCAATAAGATACGTGCTATTTTGATTATATCCGGAAATTCCATAGCATATTAGTAATAAAATATAGACGTGCTGCACCTCTTCGGGTAAATTTCATTTTGTCCTATACTCGGTAATTCGTGGGGGCGCTCAGTTTACTTACCTATGTAGAGAGGTTTATTACCATTAAATGGGTTTCCACGAACTTGTTGTGATTTTGCTGCGATCCACTATATCTTTCTCTTGTCTCTGATGAAGTTTACTACAGGGACAAATTTATATTTTATTTTCAAAAAGTAATGAGGAACCTGCAGATTATTTTAGGTTATTTTTATTAGGAGAACAGCTATTAGACATTTATTTATTGTGACCGAGCTTGATAGCTACTCTTTACTCTTCCTATTTTCTATTTCTTGTCTGTTGATTAAACGCTTTACTGGGTTCGCCCGATTGGTACATCCGCGTCATTGTTAATGGACGCTCATCGTCATGCCCTTCTCAGCAGTGCTGTTTGCAAGAACATATTCTATTGTTTTTTTCTTTTCATCACTGTTCTACTTGGTTATGTTGAAGGAATATTTAGTGTCACACAATTATTGTACTAGTTTCAACTTTTGGGTCTGCATTCCTTATTCGCGTTTGTTTCGTGACTTTGTTTAAACGTTGCGTCTCGTCATTCTGATTGGCCAGTGCCCGTCACTGTAAATGGTCGTTCGCTTTACGCTTGGAGTCTAATGATGCTATTTTTAAGGACCGACGCGATTCGCTCTTACATACACCGTTGCTTATTCGCCGTTGCATTTTACGTTTTTCCTTCAGTTGGTTGGTTCAAGTGTACTTTAGTAGCTTCCCTTCATTTTGCCTTCAAACTATGTAAGCAACTGTGATTTCATGTATACAAGTCTCCTTCTGGTTCGTCTTGCTCTTCTTCTTGCGGTCGTGGGGTGAAGGCGTCAGCGGCGACACAATAATTTTGGCTTTTATGAAATAAACCAGCGATTAGTTGTAAATGACTTGACTGCTAGGAAAGGGGCAAGGAGTCGAAACGGTTAGGATAACTTAAGTTGTTAACATCACCTATTTTTGGAAGACCGTTTTGTTGTTTCTTATGGCAAGATAGAATGTCGGATTGGTGGTGTAATGATAACCTAACTGTAAGAGTTGCAAGGAATTGTCTATCGGATTGTAATCCGCTTATCGCAAATTCATGTAACTCCTTGAGCATACCTTTATGATCACGCTCCGCAAAAATCTGGAATCAATTAATTTTATAGACCATTATACAATTTTTAATATTCCTTTTATTGTATTCGATACTCCCCATCACAATGACCTGTAAAATCTTAACTTATAGTACACGGACGAAGTGGCATGACACAATCCCTCCCTACCTTAGCAAGCAAATTTTGTTAAAAAATGTGCTGAAGGTTATCGTGAATGTTGGTTAGTTTTACAACTAGAGGTTGCTATTGAGGAATAGCGCAAGGCTTCAGCTTTTGCTGTCGTCGCCTAGATTCCACTTTGTTAGTCTAATGCACTGATGCGTCGTAAATCTGATGCAAGTTTTCTTGCGAGTCAACTAATCTTCAGGACTATGGAGTGAATTAGTAAATACCACACAAGATAAAGTACTAGAAACAAATTCATCGAAACCACAGGCCTACTCGTGGTCTGCGTACAAACGGCTGTGAGTAGATGTCCATAAGTTCTGGTGCTGTATTCATTTTGCAAGCCTACTGGCCAAGCTGTGCGGATGCAACAGATGGACCCCATGTTCGTGAATATTTTCGACAGTCTTCACACCGGCTTGTCTGGCGCATTCGGCTGAGGGCAAAATAGTTGCAAATATCTAGGCGATTCCATCTCTGTTTAGCTCGTTTAATCATTAAGAATTCAGTGCGGTTACCTTTACTTTAAATTCGTTAGGATCTACTTACTCGTTCGAAAATCCGTCATGGTAGCAAATGGAGGACACAGTCTACTGAAATCAAATCCGGATGGAACGAAGGGTCTTACAACTGCAAGTGAGAACATAAAGCCAGCGCCACCAGAGAAAAAAGTTTGCGGAAGCTCACACTAGTTGATGTAAATAAAGGTTGTTTAGTAAAAGAAGCAAGCTTTTTGAGCACTCGCTACAGCTATTCATAAAGCATTAAATCATCGAACCAATCGACCAAATCGACCTAGTTCCCGAAAGTGTCATTGCATACAGTGAGCTGCTTTCGAGAAAAACACGGTTAAGTCACAGAGTAAATGCACAACTGACCTGGATTTAAACTCCGATGAAAACAAATCATGGGAAACCAAACTCATGCGTTGTGACCATCGGAAACTACCATTTGAACGCGGGCTGGAGAATGGATGGGTAGCAACAGAGAACTGGATCAAGGCACCCTGGATCCATTTAGATCAGCGAACAATTACTTAATCACTAGTTTTAGGCAGCGGTAAATTGCACTAACAGCTCGGTGATAGACAGATGCCGTGCATCCACCTCACTGAGCAGTCTCACAGCGTAACATCAGATCAGCGAGTCACCAGTTGGGGAAATATCGCTCCGTCTGCAATGTGAATAACACACCAACAATACATTTTTGTACTTCCTACCGGTGTCGAGCGCCATTTCAAGCTTGAAGACATAAAATATAGACAAGCAGATATATCGTTCCCATTAGTGCTTAAGGTAAGATTAATAAGTTGGTTAGGCACGAACCAGAGCATAAAAGATGACAATTGTTTACTTTGACAGGTTAATAACATCCGGATGAACCAGATGAACAGGTGTATTATTTAAACCATGTTTTGGATTCTAATGACGCAAGATACGCAATCATGCCTTTGTTCCTAGAGATGGAAAAGGCAATCGAAAGAGTACTCCACAAACGACTGCTGAAAAAGATTTCGTTTTGGAATCCAAGAGCCACTCCTGGGCTGGCTATTGTCATAGTTGAGCGGCCGTTCTCAGGTAGTTACCACGCATTCACTCTTTATCACGTCAATCACTACTGATGTTATCCAAGGGAGTGTACCTACTCTCTTACTGCTCCTGCTATACGTCAGTGACATCAGTACGCTTATCAGACATAGCATGTCTTTCCTTTTTCCAGATGTTAAAATTGGGAGACAACTCTGATAAGAATTTGAGCCTGATACGATTGTCGCTGGCACGGTTTGAGCACGCCTACGATAACGGCTTGAAACGCTGGCCAATCGAACAGATTCGCGCTGACGTAGTGGAGTTAGCTTAGCCCGGGGTACACGCCGCTGAGGCGGAAAATCGCGCTAGCGTGAGAACGTTCCTAGCTAAACCTGTTCGGATAGACACTGAGCCCTCGTAACGAACGAGGCCACGCACATGAGAGGAGGTGACGGTAGACGCGCTGGTGGCTTAGACGCGAGCGCTGCCCGGCTATCGGCGCACACAAAAAATTACTTGACCGAACCGACTCCCAACTAACGGCGGAGCGAAAGCAAGACCAGTGGTCCACTGAAGGCTCTTTTACGATCAACGTAGGATGAATTACAGCCAATACTACGGGTCATTAAGTTAGTGAAATTAACTACCGCGACGGGGTGGTAGTTTGTAAAAGAACATTGTCAAGATGTGCGCTGTTGTGCCGTGTCTCGATGTGGCTGAAATCCGCTGCGTTGGGGGGAAGAATTGAACTCCGCTTTCCATAGCCAATAGGCCGGAGTTTGTGGCGCGTTTTTGAAGGGAATATTTGACCGGCCCACAACCCAGATGACAAAATATAATCTACATACTCTGACAAGTTGAACTTCAAGATACACTGCCACTCATACAGGAGGAGATCCACTCACTTGAGAAATGGTGTGCTATCGATTATGAAGTTCCAGGCGAAAAATCTAGCATTATGTTGTTCGAGGTCCGAGGGATCAATTACGTTCAACGACGAACACCTATGTGTACAAACATCTACCCGCGATCCCGAATCCGGTTTCCTTACAATATCGACTTTTCCGAACAAAGTGAATATCAGCTGGACGGGGCCAGAAAACCAGTGTTTAATATACTGTATAAGATCCATAAAACACAAGCCAGATGAGAACTTTTCAAAAACAGCTTCATCTGTAGCAGCTTGAGGAAATCCGACAGAGTATCGCAGGAAGTACAAAGGCGTCATTTACCAAACGTCTGCTAGGCGACACTTCTACTAAGAACTTCGGAGCGCCGCTAACGATTCCAGCTCGATCCGCTTTGGTCAAGAAGATTGAGGCAAAACCTGCTGTTAATGTACAACACGATTCATCAAAACTCCCACTGCTATTTGCCATCTTTAGAACTCCAGCGTAGTTTGACGAGGCAGCTACGCAATGAGGAATTTGCCCTGAGTCTACCCAGGTGCAGGGTAACTCTGCGGTCCAACATTTTCCTTGTCAGATCTACTGTCCTTTGGAGTAAGCTCCCCGTTGTAAGCATATGGCATGAGAGCGCAACGGTCTTTCTTGTTAAGCTCGCCAATTACCCAGACTTGTACACCGTTATGACCCTGTGCTCACAGCAATAGATTAAGTCCTGTGGTGTACCGGAGAACACCGTGAACAAATGGGATTTAGAACGTATTAGTAGAACGTAACGAAAACACTATTGACGGCCGACAAGGCAAAAACTGTCAGTTTTCCCACTTAGCTTTTATAGCATCCATTGACATCCTAGATACCATCAACTAGTCTGATTTTACGCGATTGCCTATGGCCTTTACAACAGGTCCGCCGAAAATGAATGATTAGTACTTCTGAGATACCCTTCTGTGATGGGTTACCAGACGGACAGTTCACGATACCAAGCCTGACTCGAGGCCACATTTCTCGCAACTTGGCTAACATCTTAATCCGTTGGCCACATTAACAGCTTTATATGCAAAGCAGCCTGCATTGCAGGTTTGGGGTGCCGTGACACGGACGAGGCGACAGTGGAGAATACGAACTACCGAATGCCCTAACATATATACAAATATCAGGGAATTCCTCACATCTCAATCACTATGAAAAATATACATCATTCAAAACTCCTGCTAAGATCATAGAACAGCAGGTGGATGATTCCCGGTTCATTAGTAAAAATTCGGTAAAAATAGGGAAATTTATCTACTCGGTTCAGAACATAAAACAGGATATTTCACTGAACGTGCATACACTAGCAAGCAGTACATCGTGGTAAGTATTGCTGTGAAGTTCCCTTTGGGTCACTTAATGGTACAATCAGCAGTTTCACATGCTGTCGGTTACAGTCAGATCGTATGAAAGCGCAACAGCCCTTCGCGTTAAACTGACCAATTACCTAGACTGGAACACGATTATGATCCAGTTCTCTTGGGAGAAATCATTTGGTGATATTTTCCAAGAAGTGCCAGACAACATCTGATGGGTGAAAGGAAAAAGATTCACACAGTGCGGCGCCCCTCTGGTGCGGTTAATAGCCACTAGTCCAACTAGTGCACATTGCGTTGAAACACGCTTGTGAGTGACAACATACACTTAAAACAACAAAGCAAATGAAACCACACAATTGTTTACCAGTCATGCATGAGCATGATCATTTATGTAAACTACGATCTATGCCAAATATGGACACAGTTTCTTACTCGATGATAAATATACCTATTGTTATGATTATTATTAAATCCAGTTCGGATGACCGAACCCAACAAGAACCAGTGTGGATCAACAAGCAAGCCAGTTTCCGTGTACGTGTGTCCTTACCGTGACACAGTTACCTACGATGACCGGCGCTGACCGTCCTATTTAGACAAAGCACTCGATAATCTCCTCCCTCGACCAAAGATGACCGGAGAGCGCAACGTTCGACTGCAACAGCAGATGGCAAGATTCATGACTGTGCCATTAGAAGCTAACAATATGGATCTTGTTCTACAGCAAACCCCACAGAGCTCTGTCCATACGTCGAAGGGTAAAGTCAGTAATGGTAACAACCCAACAGCATCTGCGCCACCTACTCTGACGATAACTAAACCTTTAATTGGGCGAGTCATCTCCGGTGTGACTGCTCGTTAACTCATACGTAGATGCCACACCTGACGAGTTGGTCACAACACCGCAATCCGGAGCCGGGTAACGTACGCATCGATGGCCTCGATAAAAGCGCCAGCGGCACCCACCGTAAGTCCATCTTCTGGACCAAGCACGAGTAATCCGACGCTATTTTCACCACATTATTTATCGCCTGCTAAACAACCCAAGTTGCCAGCCACAACACGCAAACAAAAATTCGCTAACCAGAACCGTAGTGCATCAAATATCGTGTGCGCTAACGTACCTGAGTCCAAAGCTGGGGCAATTAATGGCACATTGTTACATGATCGCAACCAGTGGAATTCCATCTGGGATGCGACTGGTATTCGGGTTGAGCCGCCTATGCCGATACGCATACTGTGTCACCCTACTTTAGTGCACTTTAGCGAAGCACGAGTTCTTTGAGTAGCGCTGCACTCAATTGAGGAGACAGAGACCGTCCTGCTGTTAGCAATTTATCTAAGCAAATCATCGAGTAAGACAAGCATTCTATGAGTATTCTTTGGAAAGGGCACTCAAAGGAAAAGGAAAACCATAACGGCCCTTCTACAAACGAAGGCGAGAAAACTGTATCTGTTCATAGTGTTCCCTAACTACCGAATTCTTCTGATCATGAGAGATAAACACATGATCGAGAAAAGTGGTGCTACATCTGCGCAGCACTCTCTCCCTCTCTCTGGAGCACGCTGTTGCAAAATCGTTGACGAGAATTCCTCCATCTCCAAGTTGCAAGAGCTGCGGTCCGCAAACATTGGAAATGGTGCTACACA